TTGATAATTAAAAAAAAAAAAAAAAAAAAAAAAAAAAAAAAGTTATGCTTTTTACTGCCTTTTTAGAGCAATGAACAAAGAAAAACATTAAAAAAAAAATCCATAGAAACACAGAGGATAAGCCATGAGCTGTCAAAAGGGTATCATTATCTGATATGATTCTCATAGGGAAAATTCAAATCAAACAGGAGACTGTGTATAAAAATTCCACTTATTAAAGGCAGTATTATATATATCATTATTCTACTCTATGGTTATCGTTTAACAAGATTTTCCTAGATCGTCATTGCACGAGTTTGAAAAATAAAATCGTAGTGAAATTGTGTGAAAACCCACCTTATCTTATCATATTTTAAATGATATAATAATATAATTGACATTGATAGTACATAAAGCCAGTTCTCTCTATGTAGTGTATGCCAGCCTTAATTTGCGTTTTTAAAGAAATTAAGCAAGGAACCGAAACTAAAGTGTTTCAACATGAAGCTCATAGCATTTTTAATCGCAATTATAGTGGTGGCCTCTAGCTTGAGAGAGTCAAGGGCCTCAGGAATAGGTGGGATATATGGTCAAGAGCAGAGAAATCGCGTTGGAAGGGGAAAAGTGATAGAAAGCATTGAAAAAGAAAAGAACAATATTTATAACCCAAAAAGCAGTGTTAAAAGTGCAAACCACCGTGCCAAGCCTAAAGAAAACTACAACGATGAGGTGAGAACTTCTCAAGGAAATGATGGTAATAGAAACGAAGACGGCAAGTTCAAACATAGGATAGTCCATGCATGAGAGCTACATGACGTGGTTAGCATGCATAGGTTGCACATGATGGTATTATCTAAGCTCAGTCACTTTTTAAATATAGTCCAAGGTTATGTTGTATGTGGTTAAATTGGAATAAGATGTATGAATTGCTGGCATATTGGGTTGCTACGTTGTAGATTCTATCGGTGTGTTCTTATGTGCGAGTGTAACAGCCTTAAGAACTAGCTTGCGTAGGCTGTTTGTAAGTTGTAACCTTGTTTGTAATAGATGGCAGTTTAGTTTGCTTGCACTATTGTAAAAAGAAAAAATTTCACGTTGCTTCTTGTTTAATTCAACATTCGCATTTGCAAATCTGACTTGTATTCTTAAAAATAATCACCAGCTTGTTCCCTGATTCAACATGTCCATGATTAAAAAAAATCTAAATTTTGTTGTGAAATAAATGCATATTTTACTTAAACAAACTTTCCTGCATACTTAGAGTAACGTTAGAAAAAACAATACAAACTACTAAAATAAGTTTCAGGGTACACTCCATGCAAATTCCAACCTTCTGAGCTGACTACGATAATTCCTCAAAATTGTTGTAACACCCAAAATTTATAACAATCAAATAACCTGGAAAGTGTTATAAAATATTGATTTATCTTATCAAACCTGAACTTATTATTTGTTTAGTTTTGAATGCCTGATCCTAAGCTGTTACACACCCCTTTCGTGCTTCTTGTCAAGAAGTCAATCAATTACCTTCTCTATTCCGTTTCGAGCCTATAGAAGTTTTTAAGGTGCGTAATTGTTGAGAAGCCAGTAAAGCTTCCTGTATTGATATTCTCGCTTTGGGTCTACAGCTATCACAACTTAAGACTGTCCTTGGATTCCTTGATCTCCAATTGACTCACCATTAGGTGTCAAACCCCGAATCTTAACATCATAGTAAACTTCTTCGACCTTCCTGAGGTCATACTTCATGCCTGCCAATGGTGAAAAGATACCGTTCAAACATATGGCACGAATAAATACAACTTTATGAAAAGTGAAAACAGTATATGCAAACTGCAAATAACGTTGGTATACATATATAGTTGATTTTTGGGGATTATAGTAATCCTCAGATGCTATATATATTTATTACCCCTTTTTTTTTTCTGGGTAAGTATGTGATGTTGATACTGTTACTCATTGCAGTTAGGGAATTGGGGATAAAGTAATCCTCGGATGCAATATATGTTTATTACCCCTTTTTTTCTGGGTAAGTCAAATGACGACATGAGGTTGATACTGTTAATCATTATCGTTAGTAGACCAATCTTGCTTTAAAGTGATAAATATTTGTCACAAAATTGAGAATGCCATTTCAGTAACATTATTTGATGAAGGTAATGCAGTGACAATAAGAAAGAAAAGAAATAATGCATAGGACGTGGTACAGGTAATAACATACCATCAAACTTCTTTCGCAAAAAGTCATTGCGAAGATTTAGCATGCGGAATGCAGCATGGAGATCTGTTAAGAACTTTAAGACCTTCCTCGGACAATCATAATCCCCAGCTGTCACTTGATTCACCACATACCTTGGCTGCAAAGTTAAATGAATTGCAAAATAGGGTGCAACTGTCATTATGTCTTTTTCTTTAAATACACAGAAGTTTGATAATCTGTTGTGTCTGTGTACGTGCAAGTATACAAACATTCCTCCATCTCTAGTTTATATTCCTCTGAACATTGATATATAGTGTTGTGAAATATGTCCTCTGTTTTGTACAAGTTGATATGTAACAATTAAGAGGAAACGTATTCTTACCAATTCATTAGACATAAAACAGACACCTGCATGGAAAAATATATCAATATCATATTACCGCAAAACTGTGAAATCATAATCGGCTATATAATAATCTGTGTGACAAAAACTAGACCTATGGCTCAAATCAAAAGATGGGGTCGTGGATTGGAGAAGTTTTGTTGATTTCTTTAATCACAGAGTAAACAAATTAAGAATCATCTGTACTAATAACTAAATATAACATGACACATTTGGTTATTAAGCTCCTTTGCCCTGGAAACCATACTGATTCTAACTGTCATACCAATGTTCTTTAAAATGATAATTATATTTAAATTGGCCATTACTCCCTGAAAGAAGATAGTCTTAAAAAAAAACAAGGATCATGTTGATCTCACAAATGATTATAACACAGAAACAATTAATCTAAATACATATTTAGAAGACTCACCTATTAAGTAGTCTTCGACATCTAGGCCAAAGTCTGAACTATTCACTGCAAAATTGTTAACAGTAAGTATACAGAACTTATAAATCTCAGTGACTACGAGTGTGCATAAAGTAGTTAATGAGTCACAAAAGACAAGAATGGGTATGGTTCATGTAGAAGATTAACTTATAAATTGACAAAAACTATCAACTATATAAGTTATTACAATCATAAGTTCAATAACAAATCCTATAATTATTAGTAGAAGAGCCAAAACACTGCGTATCTCTAATAGTTACACACAAGCAGGATATTAGAAGATTACAAGTAGTTATTTAGAGAGGATATAAGTTGTTATTTTTTACATCCAAGAGGTATAATGATCCACTAAAAAGTGGAGACTAAAAGCGGTTAAATACTCCAATATCCCCTTTATAATAGGTATAGGTGTAAAATAGAATTGCAAAAGGTTGGAAAATTTAACTATCCAAAAGATGCTCTGAGGCATAGTTCTCCCATTTAGATGTTACATTTCACGCTAATGGAATTTTACATGAGGCCAGACTCTTAAGTGCAAAACAACCCATTCATAGGTATTTCTGCTTATATAATATTTCATTGAATGCTAGCTTTTGGTTTATCTAACTTATGCAGGGCACACTTAAAAGTATGGAGTTGATACTAGCCAGTAGCCACTAATGGAAAAATCAATGGTTCATATTTTTATAACTTTAAAGTACCTATAAAATAAATAAATTATAAATTACATATGAAAGAACACAGCTCGTTCATCTTATCATACTACACGAAAGTAAAATGCACCTTCATTTAGATTTTAGGACTTCATAGTGTATTCAATTAGTAATTAGTAATAGTAATTAATAATGTATAATTATATCAACATATGCAAGCAAGCATACATACCTAAAGAATAAAAGATTGATTGACATGCCAATAAATAACACGAGAGTACTAAGACATACACCCAAGTTTTTCCTCAGCTTCTTTGTGCTCGAGAAGGCTTCCTGTTTCAAGCCAATGCATAAAAGCAAGCATCGAAACTACGGACTGTGTCTCACTCCTCCAATCACCATGGTACCTACATCACATGAGGTAAAATACAAGAAAGAGATAAGTTACAAACACAAATAACACTAACGAAATAGAACTTGAAACAATACAAAAATTCCTCCAACTATTAATCACCTATAGTATTGCCCAGGGCATCCTCCAACAACTTCAGCAAGTTGCTTATACTGCTCCTTTAATACATTAATCTGAGACTTGGCCTTCTCTAAAACATCTATTCAAACCCAAAAGAACATACACACACATGAGACAATGAGAAAACACAATGCCTTGCTACATTGTACACTTCACCCCTCAACACTCATCAATGGATAACAAAATTATCTAACCCTGAAAATGCGGAACACAAGTTCGAGTTTTGACGCTTTCTATTAAACACACAAGCCTTAATAAACAAACCCATTAGCACAAAACAAGTACACGACCGAGAAACCCAGAGTCGGCCCAAAAGAGCAAAAATGTAAAAAATAAAATAAAATAAAATAAAAATGTGATTAGGGTTTAGAGCATTGTGTATTTAGTAGTACCAGGAGTGGGACGAGAGTGGTGAACGAGAAGAAGGGTTGCATAGATGAGCCTAGTTGAGGACTCAATCTCCGAAACGACGCTTCGAATTCGGTCGCGCAAGGTTCCAGATTCTTCGAGCTGAACCCTAAACGCGTCGAATTGCTTGTCCAGCGACGACGGAGGCACCGCCATTGAGGAGGAGAAGCGCGAAACGGGTGGTGCGAGGCGAAACCGAAACGGGAAGAGGACGACAGAGGTAGGGTTTAACGTTAAGGAGTGGCAGTAGAATGCCGCTTTTCGAAACGCTGGTTTCAAATATTGCATTGTTTGTTTTTCACTTTTCCTTTTGCAGATGTCTATTCATTATTCATCAACGATCACGTGCTGCCAAACGAGGATTATCATTTTGTTTGTGGTTACTACTAGATAATATAATTATCTCCTGGTTCAGCAGTAGAGGTTGATCCACGTTTAAGTAAGGTTAGGAGTTCGAATCCTGTCTTGTGTATACAACCACGTTAAATCTTGGGGTCAGCTATCCCACCCTTTGAGATGCCTCCAATGTAACAAGAAAATTAGTCACTCCATGAGCGAATTAAAAAAAAAAAAAAAAAACTAGATAATAGAACTAAATATTAAATTCTGATGCAGTCAACTATTTTGTAGCTCGCTCACTAAAAAAGGATGTTGGGTTGGATTGCCATACTTTTTGTCAACTATTAGTGGTGAATCAACTTAAAAGAGTTTGATCGACTCATTTTACATGTTTTTACCACATGCTAAGTTATATCATTGATTAGCTATTGATATTTGTAGTGGGATTAAAGTGACTAATTACTACAATAGTTAAATTGAGATCGTTCCAAATATTTGTTGAGGAATTAAAACTGATTTTTATGAAAAAATATTAGAGACTTAAAACCAACAATCTCCCTAATAATTAAAGATAAGACTTGTTTTTATATTTGAATAAACAATTTTATATAGTGTTATTTAATGTAAAAAAAATACATAAAAGACTTAAATATATTTTAGTTTCTTAAATTTAAAGTAGTTTTATTTTTAATTTTTTAATTTAAAATTGACTTTTTATCTTTATAATTTTTAAAAATATTATTTTAATTTTTATACTCAAATTTTATTAAAAAATTTATTAAATATTGACACATAAAATCTAGGTTAAAAACCTATTTTGATCCCTTATAATAATTGTTTGTTTCAATTTAGTCTCACTTTTATTTTTGGTCTCAATTTGATCCCTCATAAGTTAATTAGTTTCAATTTGGGACTTCCGTCCAAATTATTTAAACGGAGTTAACTATTGGTCACGTGAATGTCACGTAGATGCATACGTGGATTCCACATGGACGCCAAAATATGTGAAAACACTTGGAACCAGAACGACACGTTCTGAAACCAGAACGGGCCGTTCTAGATGCACTCTTTGTATGTTAATTTTGCATCTGAAACGGGCCGTTCTAGATGCAAAATTAACACACCACCAGTACATCAGAACGGTCCATTCTGAAACTAGAACGAGCCGTTCTGGTTTCAGAACGGGTCGTACTGGATTCAGAACGGCCCGTTCCAAGACTGATAATAGAATATTCTTTATTAATTTTATTAAAAATATAATAATTTTGAAAAATATTTTTTATGGTAAAAATTTTAAAATTATTTATTTTTATAAAATACAATTATCTTATAAATAGAGTAATAACTTTTTCTTTTTTTCTTTCTGTCTGAAGAAATAAAATGATAAAAATTAATAGGATAAACATAATAAAATTATTAATTTATTTTCTTTTAGTATCCTCTAAATTTTTACATTCATTTAAAACAAAAATATTTTATATGTTAATTTGAATTAATTTAACGAAGTATCATATGATTTTTAATTTTTTAAATTTTTTTATAAATTTGATCTATACATGAAAAACTTTTTAATTTAACAATTAAATTCTTAAAAATTTGATATAGAACATTAATTATTAAATAGAATAAATCTATCAAGACTTACTCTTGAAGTAAGTAAATTTTTTCTTCATTAAAAATGAAGATAATTTTACCACAAAATAAAAAACAATTAAACAATAAAATAAAATATAAAAAAATATTAATATATTTATTATATTAGATATAACAACATAATTAAAATATAATTAATAATATATATTTTATAAAATTATTAATATTTTATATATATATAAAAATAAAGAATGAAAAAAATTTTAGTGGAAGCAAGTGCCCCCACTATGATTAACTTAGATCTGTCCCTATATATGGTTGTGGTGAAATATTAGTCATGTGTATCCTCTTCTTTTACTTCAAGTTCTACCTCTTCAAGAACAGGTTGTTGTTGTTGGGGTACATCGTTAATGACTTCAAGGAAAAATATTATGTCATTTCATCATTTACTGTATAGTGTCAATTTGGTAGTAAGTGGTTCACTCCAGTTTGAAATGAAATAAAATCTGCTACCATTGTCTTTAGTGATACATTGCATTGTCCTTAATAATACACTGTATAGCCTAATTGTTTAGCAATTGAAGTTATTAATTTTCATTGACAATATTACAAAATTCAGTGTTTGAAATGTTTTGTACCTTGGGTCTTTTTCCTTCCATGATTCACAACCGTGAACTATAATCATTGATCGTTTATGCTTAGCAATCTGGAACCAGAACGACCCGTTCTAAAACCAGAACGGCCTGTTCTGGTTCTAGGTGTTTCCAAAAAATTGTCATCCACGTGGCATCCACCTATGCATCTACGTGGCATCCACGTGGCCACACAGTTAACTCCGTTTAAATAATTTGGACGGAAGTTCCAAATTGAAACTAATTAATTTATTAGGGACCAAATTGAGACCAATTAATTTATTTGGGACCAAATTGAGACCAAAAATAAAAGTGAGACTAAATTAAAACAAACAATTATTATAAGGGACCAAAATAGGTTTTTAGCCTAAAATCTACTTATTGATCTTATCAGTAAAAATAATGTATTAAATTCAATTGATATTACATAACTGTCTCAATTTGTCTCTTTTAAATATGTTATTGGTGATCTTATGGACTAATTTTTTTTTTGAAAGTTATAAGATTAAAAATAAATATTTTAAATTTGAGAGACTAAAAATAAATTTATTTTAAGTTTAAGAAATAAAAAAAATATTTTATATTTAAAAATTAAAAATATATTTAAACTTATAAAAAAAATTATATAACTCTTCAGAATATTTGATATGTAAATTAATTATAACACATGACATCATTCAACCGAAGGAAAATTAATAATTTTGAGTTTAAATTATAATATAATGTTTTAAATACTTTATTGAAATTTTTAGTTCGAGTTTTTATATTATTATTTTTAATTAGTCATTTTTTTTATTCATAACTAATCATTATTTCAAATTTGAGATTTAAATTTTACGGTTAATTGGATGTGAGTTAATAAAATATAAATTGTTCTAATTTAATCCATTATCTTGAGTTTTAGTTGTATACTTACATTAAGAGAATTGAGAGAGAATTAAATTATTACAATGTATTTGTTGGAAGTGAAAGAAAAGTTATGCGTAGAGTATAAAACAATTTTATATTGTTATTTATTTATAAACTATCTTATACATTAAATTTTATGATAATTTTCTTAATAGTTACTATTATATTAATAATGATTTTTATTAGTTGAAAGTGTAATTTTTTTTACCCAAACAACACATGACCTTTAATATTTTTTTAATTAAACAGTTGAATTCCTTTTATTTGTATTAGTTTTGAATGATCTTCAATTTGTCCCGAACAAAATGAGCTCTAATAGAAAAAAAAAATGTCACGAACAAAACTAAAGTACACGTACGAAAGTGTGATTTGGATCCATGGACCAATGAGAAACCTGGTCTTGGATGAATATCGGTCCCTCAACAGTAAACATTAACCTTGACACGAGCTGTTTCTCCCGTCTCATACGGCAGTGGTGCTATTGGAGTCAAATCTTAAACACCCTTTTCACACATTTTCCATCTCAACTTTGATCATTACTTTATTAGGCTTTTAACTTTACGTTTGTTGGTAAACTAAGGTGACCAAGCCAGCATCTGCCGTGTGGGGACTTCTCTTCCCGAGCCTGGACTGGACCCTTTCTTTCTCAAATTCTCAAAAGTCTCCACTTTTGGAGGCAAATGACTAATGAGGCTTGTCCTCTTCAGAATCTTGCCCCAAAAGGGACTTCCAACATCTGAATCTTATTAGATCAAACTAACTCTTTTTCTGCACCGGAGGTGAGTTTGAGCTTCAAAATCTCTCCTTTTCCTGTTTTTCTTTTTGTGTAAGTAAAAGGGTGCAACTGACTCCATATGATCCCGAAGATGTGTCAAACTATTCTGTGCTTTTTCTCTTTCAGTATGGATGCCCAATTTGGACACTTTCTATTCTTAATCATATTTCCCAAAAATAGTACTTAGTTTCTGTTAGTAGATTAGGATTGGTTCATTTCTCTGAATGCTGTTAGCTTTTTTTGGGGGCAAAAAAAGGAGAAATATTTCATTAATTGAAAACATTTATATTTGGGTTGTCTGAAATTGAAGACGTTGATCACGGGGGGAATTAAGTTGATAAGGGTTCTTTTGAAGGTGTTTGATGATATGGTTATTTAATGCTAGTGGGTGCTTTTGTTCTTTCTGAATTCAATTTGAGGACTCGTCATCATATATCACTTTTACTCTAGATGCTGTGTTGCTTTTCAATGGCTCTCAACTTTCCTTTTCTCTTATGAAAATGAAAATGCAGTCCAATCAGCAGCGATGAAGTGTTTTCCATTCTCCTATGGAGAGAAGAAAGATGAGCCAAAAGGCTTGCAGTCGACATCGGGTCGGTCAGACAATTCCACATGTGTGGAGGCTGAGGTTAGAAGATCTGGTTCTGAGTTAAATTCACAGGATGTTTCAGACAATGGCAACACAGAATCCCTCAGGAGGAATGCAATTCCCAGTTTGTCCCAGAGGCCCAGCAACCTTAGAGTGTTTACTGTATCTGAACTGAGATCAGCCACAAAGAATTTCAATCGCTCTGTTATGATTGGAGAGGGCGGGTTTGGGTGTGTCTACCTGGGGCTGATTAGAAGTGCGGAGGACACATCCAGAAGAATTGAAGTTGCAGTTAAACAGCTTAGTAAAAGAGGAATGCAGGTAAGAGTTTGCCTTCTGTTTTCATCTTAGTGAAGCCATGCACTAGTGTGTAGTTGTTTTGCTCTTTGTTTTTTAATATCATGATGCAAGATATAATGTATATATTATGAAAATTGAATGCTTTGAATTGTCATATTAGTTGCTGCATGTTTGTAGACATGGTCAAAAGAACTCTGTTTCCATACTTAAAATTTTCTTGGGTGAAAAACCTTCTAATTGTTACATTTTGATGACCTTCCTTGAGCCTAGAAAATTTCTGTTGTCAAGTGAGTGGGTGGTTGTTTCTGTGTTGCCTATGTCAGATGCACGTATTTCAAGTGAATTATAGAAGCCGTAAAGTGCAGCTTCTCTTTTGTATGTGATTTGATGTGCCTGCCAGATATGTTACCAAACAGGCAAAACACACACTAAGATGATCTGATTGCTACAGAAAATAAGAATTATGTGTGTTAATCCTTTCTATGTATTGTTTCCTCGGCTTTAATTTTGTTACTCTACTTTTGGCTTGTAGGGGCATAGGGAATGGGTGACAGAAGTTAATGTTCTGGGCATTGTTGAGCATCCAAATCTTGTGAAACTAGTGGGTTACTGTGCTGATGATGATGAAAGAGGAATCCAACGGCTTCTGATTTATGAATACATGCCAAACAGAAGTGTGGAACACCATTTATCTCATCGGTCAGAGACTCCTCTTCCATGGAGTAGGAGATTGAAAATAGCTCGAGATGCAGCTCGTGGGTTAACATATCTGCATGAGGAAATGGATTTTCAGGTATTGGTTTATAGCACAGCTTTCATAAATTCCTATTTGATCTAACAAGCCTTGTCTAGATTTTATTTTTTTTCTTCACATTTATATACACCACCTCCCAAATGGAAAAGGGTGAATTGCTGAATTACTCTCATCCCACCTGGATGATGCTTACATTATACTTTCCTCTCATTTTATTTCAAAAATTACACTCCCTTTCCTAAGAGAAGATTTCAATGTAAATGATTCTCTTAGTAATGACGAACAACTATGAAAGAACCTGCTAGGGACATTTTTCCTCTATACAACTTTTAGCTTAGATAGGGCAGCTAATTGTAAGCATGCTATAATTGATTTACGTCCTTAAATGACAAAATGATGTTTTAAACTCCCGTATCAATGGCTCTGGAACTTAACTCAATCTTTATTCATCTTATAAAATTCGTAAGTCAACAGTGAAGGTTCAAAGCTAGCTCTACCTATTAAGCTTAGAGTTTTAGAGATAGAAAAACTATTCCTAAGAGGTTCGTTCACATTAAAATGGACTAAATCATAACACATAATCTCTTGGGAAAAGGCAGTGTAATTTTGTAAAATAAAGGAGAGGACAGTGTAATTTAAGTTTCTACTACGGGAGAGAACTGTATTTGCCCCCAAAAGAAGATAGCTGGGGGTTCAATTTGACTACTTTGGTTAATGCCATGCTAAATTTATATACTATTCAAATATGTGCTGCAGTTGATTAATGCTATGCTAACTGTGTGTGTATTTTGCAGATAATTTTTAGAGATTTCAAATCTTCAAATATCCTTTTGGATGAACAATGGAATGCAAAGCTATCAGACTTTGGGTTAGCAAGGTTGGGACCATCAGACGGACTGACTCATGTCTCAACAGCGGTATGGCTATGTTTATTAATTTATGATTAGGCAAATGGATATTGTTAACATATGCAGGGGCCTTTAATCCTTTCTAGTTATCATTAACATGAAGTAGAGAAATTCAACATAAGACCGAATCTTTAGTTGTCCGTAAAGCTGCCAACAGTCTAATGGGGCTGACTAAATGATCATGTCAAATATGTATTATAATAAGGGGGGTGTATTGGATTAGGATTTTAAAAGACTTTTTTAGTTAAAAAAAATCCTACATATTTTAGAAGACTTTGCAGGATTTTCATGACTTTTAAGATTTTGCAGGATTCTACAAGACTTAAAATTAGGATTTTAATGGATTCTGCAGGACTTTTAAATCAAGATTTTAATGGATTTTATGGGATTTTGTAGAGTTTTGACATTTGATAAGATTTTAAAAAAAAATCATACATTCAAATTTAAAAAGAGTTAAAGAAAAAAATAATAAAAAAAATAATGTCTAGATAAATAATAATAATAATTCTCCATAATATCCTATCCTCTTTTTATAGCATCCACTATCAATTGTAACAATTCATCGGAATCCTCCTTGGTCCAAGTTTCAAAATTTTTTCTCTCTTTTCCTTTTTCTTTATTATTTCCTTGTGAATCTCCCATTTGAATTACTAAAACAATATATGTTGAAAACTAGTTATATAAATAATTATGGATAAGAGACAAAATCAATAAAATTATATTATTATTTTTAGAAGCACACCAATTATATAAGATCGAATATATCTTGGCTATCCAAATGGATCAAATACCTCAGTCATTATAAAAAAAATGTAAAAACAAAAATATAGAAATATAAGATAATTTTTTATATATAAAAAAATCAATATATTCAATACTGAGAAAATATTTAGATATATAATTTTTTTTATATAAACGGAAGTATTTAGATATAGAAAAAAAAAATATATATATATATATACTATTTTTAGTTATATAGTATATGATAATTTTTAACGATATTTATAAATGTAAATTATTCTAACAAATATTTTAACAATATTTCATTTTTTAAAAAATAAGCTAATGAAGGCATAAATCCTAAACCCTAAAAAATTAGATACTGCAATGTCTTATGTTAATTTTCTTTTTTAAAAATATAAAAAAAATCTTAATTTCACAATATAAAACTAAAAAGAAAAATTCATAGTAAAAAAAATAAAATAATTGTTGAGTCATAAAAGGGGGATAGATAAGAGTAACAAATTCAAGGGAAGGAGAGAGTTCGCAATTTTTATGCTGAGAGGGTTTTTCCCCGAACTAAGATCCATTTTCATCTCATTCTACTCACAGAAACCCTAACAAATTCATCATATATATATATATATTGTAGAGATTATGATATCAATTTCATCTTTCATCTTTTTCTTTTCTTGACATGTGTTATAAAAAAAATTACCACTTAAAAGTTTAAATTTCGAGCATTTTTTTGTGTTATATAAAGGAACAAATTCAACTACATAGAATAAAATAAAGAAAGTCAATTAAAGAGAACGAACATAAAAATAGAGCAAGTCAATGACACTATCATTTACATATCAGAGTTTTACAAAAATGAGAACAGTACTACAATATTATATATGAGCAATGAACAATAGTGTAGTATTATTAGTAGAGAAAAAATGGAGAAGACAGGAGCATAAAAAAAAAGATGAAAAACTCACTTGAAAATTCTTGAAACACTTGAAAAATCACTTCAAACAATTCTTCAAAATTCGATGGGTTTGGATGTGATTGTTTTATGAATTTGGTATTTATAAATAACACTAGAAAGTCTTTCAAAATCCCTCTCACACAACAATCCTTTAAAATCCTTATATTTTTGAATACCAATGGATTGTTTTTAAATTGTAAAAAATCTCAAATGAATACCAGTGGATTTTAATGAACTCTTTAAAAAATCTTGAAAATCCAGATTGAATACCACAGGATTGTTTTTGAGTGACATAAAATCCTGATTGAATACCAATGGACTTTTTTACTCAAAAAAAAGTTTTTTAAAATCCTACGAAATCCTAAACCAATACACCCTCCTACATCATGATTCAGAAAGGAAATTATAATAAACTCTCTTGGTGTCTTTTACACTTTTGAAAGCTAAACTAATGCCAAAAATTGGGTTCATTTCTTGAACATAAAAAATTTCTCCATCATATGGCTGTCTATGTTTGTCAGGTTGTAGGAACAATGGGATATGCAGCTCCTGAATATGTTCAAACTGGACGTCTAACATCAAAGAATGATGTATGGAGCTATGGTGTCTTCCTTTATGAACTTATTACTGGTAGACGCCCTTTAGATCGAAATCGCCCCAGGGGTGAGCAGAAGCTGTTGGAATGGATAAGGCCATACCTATCAGATGGGAAGAAATTTCAACTAATATTAGATCCAAGACTTGATAAGAAACAAGTCTTCAAGTCGGCCCAGAAACTTGCTATGATAGCTAACCGATGCTTGGTAAAAAATCCTAAGAATAGACCAAAGATGAGTGAGGTGTTGGAAATGGTGAATGGAATGCTAGAATCTTCTTCATCCAGTTCCAGTCCACAGTTGCCTTTGCGGAGTGTGGCAACAGTGAAAGCTTCTCAGGATACAGAAATAAATAACAAGAAACGGACCATGGATCAGAAACCTGGAGAAAGTAATTGGTTTGTTAGGATGTGGAGACCAAAGCTTGTAAGAACATGCTGATTATTGTTTGTAGCTTTAAGCCATCAAAGCCTGTTCTCGAGAACAAAGCTTTTTCATGATCAGGGAAGATCTTATGCATGTTTCTCAATGCCATGCTGTCACAAACAATGTGCAACTTTTCCATCTTTTCCGTGGATCAGTGGATGTGTATAAATCTGCCATCACATGCTTACTTACCAACTACCATAGGTGTTTCTTTCATGGTCAAGCTATTTGAGGAAATTTTCAGGGATGTTTATGAATTTAAGGGGGGACGATAGGTTTTTATGGATATGCATTGGGATATTGGTTGAGCCTGGTGCACAATGTTGGAAAATAGTTTTAAATTAGTCTTTAGCAGCATGTAATCCTACTACTTTCAATAGAGTTTCCTATAAGTTTGCAGGGCCTTGCATTAAATGCACAAAATGCATGAATGAATTCTTGCATGGTAAATGCAAGTTCAAGTCATACAAAAGCAATTCCTACACGAAAACACATTATCCTCTAGCTTCTTTGGTTGAATTGATATAGTTCCATGGACGGTTTAAATGAGTTGAACTCGGGATTGGGAAGATATGATATGGTCTTAAATGCATGAATGAATATGATGTTAGTTTAATTTTGATATTTGTCCGTAAAATTTTCATACTTTTATCAAATCGTCATTTATGTATTCACATTTTAAATAAAATATAAATAATAATAATCATTTGAAAAGTTAAGCATGTTTAATAATGTGACAATGGATGATGATATAAAAAATTTAAACCTAGTGTGACTTAATACTAGTGTAAAAAACAGTTGCATTGCTTCTCTATTCGTGGGCATATATATATATGGTTAAACTCAAATCACCTTTTTTACTGTTCAAGTGTGTGGTATAACGTCCTAACAGCAACCCCCAGCCATTAATAAGTCATCCGGGGAATCCAATAACTCAACATTTGGCTTAGCAGTAAAAATTTTATATATATATATATATATATATATAAAGCTTACATTTAAATATATTATGTGAAAAATAATTGTTTTAAAAATCATTTTAATATTTTAAAATTACTGTAAAAAATATGAAATTAGTAGTGGTATAGTTAGCTTTATATTTAAAATAATCAATGTTTGAGAATAAAATAAATGATTTGATAGCTTTTAATCATAAACTCCAAAATTTTACTTATAAGAAGTTATTTGATCCAAGACTTGACAACAAACAAGTCATCAAATTAATCAGCCCAGATAGAGACATACCTGCTATGAGCCTATGAAAGGCGAAGAACTGAAGCATATTTTTCAATGCCATGCTGTCACAAAACATGTGCAACTTTAATTTCTAGTTTATCTAACCATGTGTATAAATCTACTATCATATGATATGATACTTACCTATAACCATAGGTGTTTCTGTCTTGCCAAGCTATTTGAGGAAATTGATGCTATTCAAGTAAAGAGGAATCATTTATGAATTTCATGGGAGACGATAGGTTTCTGTGAATATGCTAAAACCATAAAATGCATGGATGGAGAATGCGAGTTCAAATAAAAAAGAAAAGGAAAATATATTAGATCAATACATTCACTTTTTCATGATAAATGAGTGAATGTCTCATCAAAAGACTTCACAGTAAGTTAAATATATTAAATAAAATTAATAATTAATACATTTAATATTTTTTATAATTAGAAGAAGAAAAAAATACTCTCAAAAAATTTCATTTATTATGTATATAAAGAAAAGAGGTAGTATTATTTTTTAATAATTACAGCAAAGATACCCATAATTCTAGGGTAAGTTTTATTCTTTTCCTTTCTTTCTTCATATGAGTATTGGCTTTGATAATGAAATTTCAATGCAACTTCTGTGAGAAAAATGTGATAGAATTGGGTTTGTTTGATTAAACCACCAATCTTTGTCTGGGCCGACCAAGGCTTTGGGCATTAGGAGAGTTACTTGAATGGGTAACAATATTTATTTTGATGTAGGAGTGGACAAAATGAAATGAATTGAATTAAATTTATAAAAGTTGTATTCAACTTAAAAGTAACTCATGTGAATTGAACTGAATTAAAACTGAATTATTTTTTTGTCTCATTAAACTGAACTGTACTGCATTATAAAAATTTGAACTGAACTATAATTTGAATTGCACTGAACTATTATAATATTTTGAATTGAAAATTTTGACTCGTTGATCCATCAAGATGAAACACATTTGCAAACTTTATTTTATTTTTCATTTCATTTAAAATTTTCATAGGAAAAAATATATATAAAAAATCAAGTCAACCAAACTTATTGGATTTCAAGCCTAAAAATTAGTCAACCAACATAGTTCGGTTGGCCCGTTGAGTTTAACAAAATTGAAATAATTTTTTTTGCATCACTTTTTTTGAAGCCTGACTATTGAGCCAATTTATTAAGATGGAATATGATAGACACAATTAATTTTTATACTTTAATAAAAATAATTTAATTTATTATAATTTAGTTCAATTCAATTTTCAAACAGTTCAGTTCAATTTTTTTTAAAATTTTTTTATCTCAATTTATTTTTACAAACAGTTCAATTTAGTTCGCCACCAATTCAGTTCAGTTTGGTTTTTCTTACCCATCCCTACTTTGATGTAATGGGTTATGGGTTGCTCATTCACACACCACAAATGACTAGTCGCTTTTACTGTGTTATAAAACTTGGTGTCAAAAGTGGTTTGTTTATCTTTATGAGTTGACAGAAAATTAGTAAGTGTTACTTTTTAAACAATTTTTGTGTGAAATATGTTTCAAGTCTAAAGAGGTTTGATTCAAATAATTCTTGAGTTTGAAGTCTAGAAAGATTTTATTGTGATTAGTTACTTAAAAAGATAATTTAAAAACTACATAGGTTGAAGAAGGAGTAGTTTGAGTAAAAAGTATTTATCAAGTGTTTTTGTTAAGAATTTGACATAATCTTAGTGATAAGGATAAATCAGTATAAATTTTCATGTCTTCTAATGTTTCATACTTTATATTTATTGTCTACTTCGATTTTTTTCTTTTAAAAATAGTATTTTATATATCATCTTTTAAATATATAATTTTAAAAAATATTTTATATTGTCTTTTAACTATAAACGAAAGATAATCTTTGTAATTTTTTTAAATCATAATTCAATTTTTTTTTATTCTACATGGAAATTGCTTACAACTTCTGACATATCTATTTACATGTTTTAAAAAAGTTGAGATTTTTATCCACTACTTATTGAAATTGTATGTTTATTTGGTTTAAGAAAGAAAGTCAAAGGAAAGAAAATTTAAAAAAAGTAAAAAATGTGGTAATCTTTAGGTTGTTTGGTTGTGTAAAATGTAAATTTTTTTTTTATATAAAATGAAATAAATATCTCAAATAAAAAAATGTATAATGAGTAAGGGTATTTGTTTTTGTAATATTGTCATCTCAACTGATTCAAGTCGTAGAGTGAAGATTCGCGATTACGAGATTGGAGCTCAAGCGCTCAGAGTTGTACGGAGTTCCTTCTCTTCTCCTTTTTCAATTTGATTCTCCGGGAAGATAAGGGAGGCTTGCCTTGGTTGTGTCTTATGAAGTTCATTTGGTGATTCTTTCAAACCCTTAATTTCTGAGTTGTGTTGCTAGAATTGTGGTGGTTGAGTTGTGGGTTTTGGGAGAAGTTGGTTTGGTTCTTGTAACACCCGTATAAATGTTTAAAATATATGGTTGCATGCCTTATTTTATGTTGATCTTTAGTTTTTTTTATGTATTTGATCATTTAGATGCGTTTCTTTGGTTTAGATTTGATATTGAAACTTGTAGGAAGCTTGGGATGGAATGGAGAGGTTCAAAAACCCCAAAATCGTGAAAAATAGAGACGGTTCATATTATGAAATGGCTGAGCCATTTAGAAATGACTGAGCAAAATTGAAAGATGAAAAATGGAGTGTTTTTGGAAGGAAATGACTGAGCCATTTAGAAACAATTGAGTAGTTTTGCAAATTAAAATTAGGTGTGTTTCTAGAAGGAAATGGTTGAGCGAAAATGCATATTAGAATCAAGTGTGTTTCTATAAGGAAATTGCTGAGCGATTTTGAAATGGCTGAGCAGTTCGGTGCTTTCCAAATTTAACTTTGTTGTCTTCATAAAAGTTGTAGCTCTAGCTGTTAGCTTTCCAATGACTTTAGAATCACCTAAAAAGGAGGTTTAGAATTCCAATTATGACCTTTTTAGTGAAAAAAGGTCAAGTTGACAATATTTGGACAAACTGTTGTGGTTTATGTTAATTTCAACATGATAGATGATTGAATTGGAACCTACGGTCTTTAAGAAAGTTATAGAATCTTTTTATATTTCATATGAGACAAAGATGAGTTTAATTAGATTAGTGGAACTCCAATTATGTTGTGTTATGTGAAAGTTGTCATTGTATGTTAATTGATGATTTTATATTGAAAATGATGTGTTAATTCCCTCATAGCATAAGGCAATATATGATATCCTAGGTTGTTATATAGTGAATTGTTGATATTTAGATGATGCTAAATGATAATATTTGATGATGAATACTAATGATGTGTTGTATATTGTTGATTAATTTGATGAGAGTGAAAAGTTGTAAAGTTGCATGTTGTATAAAGCGACAAAGTTATGGACATGTGGTTGAGATAAATGTTTAAGTTGAGATGCATAAATGCTAGAGGTGAATTAAGTTAATTTAAAAGTTGCTTTCCTTTAGAGTTTATGTGGTTTTGGTATGAAAGTAGTTGAATCATACCTTAGTTGAATGGCTGACCGAGTAAAGAATGTGACTCGTGTATTGTCTTTAAAAGATGACTAGCCTATTTATAAATACATGTAGTAACTAAATAATTATAAAAAAAATATAATATAAATATAAATGGTAATAATTGATAGCGAATATTGATCTCCACTAATTGAACCACTAATTATTATTCATAATAATTTTGATATTTTAAAATTATTGTAAAATAATATGAAATTAGTAGTGATAGCAATTAGCTTTATATGTAGAATAAAATGTTTGATAGCTTTTAATCATAAACTCCAAAATTTTACTTATGATAAAAAGTTATTTGATCCAAGACTTGACAACGAACAAGTCATCAAATTAGTCAGCCCAGATACAGAGATACTTGCTATGATGCATATTTTTCAATGCCATGCTGTCACAAAACATGTGCAACCTTAATTTCTAGCTTATCTAACCATGTGTATAAATCTACTATCATATGATATGATACTTACCGATAATCATAGATGTTTCTGTCTTGCCTAGCTATTTGAGAAAATTGATGCTATTCAAGCAAAGAGGAATCATTTATGAATTTCATGGGAGACGATAGGTTTCTGTGGATACGCTAAAACCATAAAATGCATAGATGGAGAATGCGAGTTCAAATAAAAAAGAAAAGGAAAATATAGTTAATCAAATACATTCACTTTTTCATGATAAA